CAAGTAAAAAAACGTTTTCTTAAAAATAGAGATAAAAAGAATTCATAAACATGACTCATTCCATTCGTTCACGAAAACTGTTTATGGTTCCGAAGTTGATGTGCCTGTTCGAAAATAAAATAGAGTAGAGGCAATGGCGAAATTTCGTTTAAAATTCGTTCGTCACCGAAATTTCGTTTCGGAAAAAGAGAGTAATGCTTCTCTTAAAATGCGGTATTTGATGGATATCGAGGATATTACTACTTACTGGATATTTTATAGTTATAATTTTATTTTTTAAGCATGTAACTGCTTGATGTTTAAATCTAAAGAAAATATAACTAGACTAACTTGTGGGTTGCCTACAATGCGAAGAGATGGATGGAGCCTTGCAGCATAAGAATAGCTAGAAGAATTTTGACGCGGCCATCAGGGCCGCGGTAGCATAATTGGTCAGTGCATTCGCCCGGATAGCGAAGGGTGCGGGTTCGAGACCCGTCTTCTGTCTGGTCCGCGTGGAATTTTTTCTAGTTACATTTTCTTTAGATATTTTATGATTCAATTAAAAAAGCATGAAACATAGGATATACTATTTTATTCAAATATTTGCCATTTTTGGATGAGTCAGAGACCCTGACGCCAAAATTCCATGGCCGAGAAGCAAATGCTGCGAAATATTTGCATGGCGAATAATATTTTTATATTTGATCATTGGTATTTAATTAAGGACTACCTGTAACCTCGTTTGAAAATGAAATGATTGACAAACATATTTATAGTCAACTCCACATTAACCTTATAAAACTCATATTTTTTATTTTTTAAGCATGTAAGTAACTGCTTGATGTTTAAATCTAAAGAAAATATAACTAAAATCTGTGCGGAAAGAGAATGGGATTTAGATTGGAGGCCGCTGTAGTGCTTTTCTACCGTATTTGTAAGGTTTTACCCCTTTTAGACATGATTAAATACAAAAAACCGCAAGAAATTACAACAACAAACAAATATGTATCAACACAAAACTTTAAAGTTTTACAGATTGCTGGGTTTGATTGCCAAATAAAAATCTTAATGTAAGTTCCGTTTTTTGCCACGCCCATTCTCTTTCCGCACAGACTCTAGAAAAATTTTTTTTTTTTTAAATAATACGCACCAAAAGCCTAGCCCTAGCGTCAGCTAGAATTAATATTAGTCAAATCTACTTAAATGTCACTTTTTTTTAGTGTGTATGCTGTTGTTCCCAAATGATCTTTACAGCGTCACCGGGTTTGGGAGCGGCGAGATCCTAAGTTGAAGTCCAAGCCGAGAAATGGCGAGTGCCTTTAGAGTTATTCCAGGCGGATGGCATCTTCCCACTGGGGGAGGCTCCTCTGTGTCTGGAGCCCCTAGACCACTCGAACCTGAGGGGGTCGGCTCAACTAGAGGGCGTCTCTGAGACTCGGACTTCGGTTCTAGTTAGCCGTTGTCGTGGGGCGATAAATATCACTTAACCCCTGTCCGCTGCCCAAAAGTGTGCCCACCGAAATTCACTGCCTGAGTGAACAAGAGCCCATATTCCATTTTTTTTAATGTGAATCCATAGGAAGTGGTTGTTATCTTCATGAAGGTCTTCGATATAATTATGTTGCCAGCTTGTATGCACATAGATAGAAAGATACTCCACCTCCTCTTGTGTTATTTCTATCTCTTGTTTTAATTAAAGTGGTGAGTATAGTTTATCAGAGATAGACTGAAAGCTTCAGAGTCACTTTTTATCCATGTTTCAGAGAGTACTATTAGGCGGAGTGTATGTGGTATGGATTGTATTATGCATCTCAACTCGTCCAATTTGCCTGGAGTTACCAAACTTCGTACGTTAGTATAGAGGCATTTAAGGAATTTAGTATTTGTTACAACATTAAAGTGATGACCTGATAGTTGATATGTGACCCCATTTGTGGAATTACAGTTTTCATTACATGCTGCAGTTGTTAGTTTTTTGACGAACATTTTGTGATTTTGAGGATTCCATAGAGCAATGAAACCTAATTCCCAATAGAAAAGCTACACCACAAAAAGGTATTCGGTAGTAAAGAGGTTATTGCCCAAACAGACACATTAATCCAATCGGAAAATCGTACTGCTTCGCCCCATCACTTTTTAGGATGATCGATGATTTTGGATCCTATTTGGCCCGACATTAAGTTAAATTTAGATAAAATAAAAGTACCAAATCAACATACCATAAAGGTACTAATCAATGTCAAAAAAATCTTAAGAAACAGTGCAGCTTTGATGATTACAACAACAACAAAAAAATATCAACTGTTTGTTTTATAAATTCTACTTTTAAAGCTATCCTTTAGTCTGATAGTAGATTTATAATAAAAACGTTTAAACTAACAAACAACTGCTTAGATAAAATCAGGTAGCTCCCTATTAATCTGATAGTAGTTCTTAACCATAACCGTATCATTCACATGTCGGCTTACGAAACATTCTAGACAGTGAGAGGAGGGGACAACGGCCGCGCGAGTCAGGGCCGCCCGGCCGGCCAACTTGCGCAAACGCAGGAGCGTGGACCAATAATGCAGGACAGGATCAATATGCAACGGATGTTGATAATTATAACACTGCTGTTTTTAAATGTTTTAGCGCTGACACGTTGAAATAAGAAGTTTATTTTCTCAATATGTCAGCTCATACTAAGGCAGGGTCCCGGTTGGCCCTCCAAAAAAAAGATCACCTTTTCTGTCATACTTATTTATAATAGTTTTTTATCTATCTTCATTTGTTTTTTTCTACTGTTATTACGAACAATAAATGTTTTTTTTTAATTTATTTTTAAAGAAGAAGACGGTTAATATCTTTACTTATTGACGCTTGTGATGAAAAGTCTTTTTTTGATACGAGTCTAAGGAAATGTAGTTGAGGAACCTAGGATGTTACATGTAATTGGAATCTAGCTGAAGTAACTAAGTAACTAAAATTTGTGTCTCTGAAGCTATTTTAAATACCAAATTCAATGGTAACACATGTACGGCAATCTACATAATCTGTAAGTATCCAGAGTTTAATTATTAAATATTGTTTATTATCACATGCATTATTTTATTTATCTTCTATCTATATAAAACTCAAAGGTGACTGACTGACATAGTGATCTATCAACGCACAGCCCAAACCACTGGACGGATCGGGCTGAAATTTAGCATGCACGTAGATGTTATGACGTAGGCGTCCGCTAAGAAAGGATTTTGTACAATTCTACCCCCAAGGGGATAAAATAGGGAATGAAAGTTTGTATGAAACTTTGTCAATTTTAAACCGATCGGGCTGAGACTTTGCATGCAGGTATAAGAAGAATCATAAATGAATGTCATTGTGTACAATATAATCCTGAGAACAAAAACTGTAATCTACGCTTCAGCTCTACACCGAAGCGAAGCGAGGGTGGGCCGCTAGTTATTAATATATAAGAAGTGAAAGAAGTCAGAACGATGGCATATCCATTATCCTACAATCTAGACCACCATGACGAAATAGATTGGACAGTCGACATCGAATTCGCATGTTCCTTCAGAATAACGTTAATCATAGTTATTGTGGATAATGTTTCAAACCTGTAAAGTTGCCAGTCCTAAACCTTTTTTTTCATATATATAGCCGGTTAGGCAAATGACTCTGACCTCACCTGATGTTAAGTGGTGATAAAGTTCAAACGCGAAGATAGCTGGTACAGCAGTTATAAACTGCCACACCAACCATCCGCACCTTGCCAATCTGCAAAAATGCTTCTTCGCGCCTCTCTTAAAGGACACCAGATTGTAGGAAAGAGGGAACACGTGCTCGGGTAAAGAATTCCACTTACGAATAGTACGACAAAGAAATGAGTCACCAAATTTCTTTGTTCGTGTAGTTGGAATAGTGGCCAAAGTAAGTCGGTGGCAAATTAGGCCAGGGCGTGTGGTCCCCTAAAGAAAAGGTGATGGAGGGATAAGGGGGAATAACTTCTCAGAACACTCGCCGTGGTATTTTTAGAGTTTGTTAGTTACATTTTCATCACCAATGATGCTGTCAGCGCGCCGCTGCAGCCTATCATCAGCATCATCGTCATCAGCCTATTAATGTCCCCACTGCTGGGGCACAGACCTTCCCTATGGATGGAATAGGGAGATTGGGCCATGACCCGCCACGCGGGCCCAGTGCGAATTGGCGGGTGCTAACGACTGCAGATGCAGCCGGGGCCAGCGGCTTAACGTGCCTTCCGAAGCACGGAGGAACTCGAGATAGAAGTTTTTGGTCACCCATCCAATGACTGACCACTGCGAAAGTTACTTAACTTAAACCATCGCAACCGCACGCGCTAACCACCTGCGCCATCGAGCTCCTGCAGCCTATCCAAGGCATAAACTACTTTTTCGCCTCCCACAATAAGGGTTACCATATCTCAGGATTTGTCCGGAGATTTCAGGATTTTTGAACTCTTCTCAGGATTGCGGCTGGATTTTGCAAATCTCAGGATTTTTTGAATTTCCCATAAAATACATTTTACGTTTTAAAGATCTATTTAATAAAAAGTTCAACAAAGTAAAAATTATCTTCTATTGGTAATAATTGACCAATTAAAATCAGTACTTTATTATCCAAGTAGGTAATTATTCAGTTTTATCATACTTAATATGTTAAGATACATTTTTTAAGGAAGGATTTTCTTCGATTATGGATTCATATAATGCCCCACACGTTAAGCTCTTCAAATTATATTGATTTAAAAGTATAAGCAGAGTATAAACGATAATATTACGACTTTTTTAAATTGTAAAGTACGTTTGAGAGAAAATTCTCAAACTGTAAAAAACCTCAGGATTTTTCAATGGAAATCAAGCCTTTTCTCCGGACTTTTGATTTTATTATATGGTAACCCTACCCACAATGCGATAAATGCTAATGTTATTACCGTTTCAATCAATCATGCGGATAACGCACAATTTGTAATAAGGTAATCAGTCGCAGCTAATTAATTATTCAGAACAACTCACTTGGTGAATTAATCCATTCGTTTTATAATCCCTCACGGGCCGGTATGCCGCCTGCTGATGGCGTAACTGTTGTTCCTGGAACAAAACGACATAACCTTTACATGACATAAAATAAATTAAACTTTTAATGTTGTTTGTGTGGCGGCGACATCTACATGCCCCTCATATAATATAACATAGAGGAAATAGTCACTCGCCTCCTTAAGAGATGGCGCTACCGGCGCTGCGTTCACAACGTATGGAAGCCTACAACACGCAAGAGAAATTCGGAGCCTAACACTCCATATATACGATGCCCGACCAATATCAGTCGGGCCGTGGCCCCCAACTACCATCACCCAGCTCGGAGGAAGATCTTCCCCTTTGGCCTTCCTACATTTGTATGAGTTTTTTCTGATTGATTTGCCTTGTAAACTTTCATCCCTTTTGTCACCACGTAATAGGGGTCCAATTTCCGAAAAGCGTAAGTTATGTCCTTTCTCTAGGTCTCCTATAACTCTCTGCTAAAAAACATTCTTTAGGTTTAGCATAATCATATACGTAATAGGTTTAGCGTGAAAGCGTAAGAGACACAAAGTCAATTTAGAAAGAAAGAAAAACATTTTATTGGCCTTAACAGCATTAACTTAGAAATACAAAATGGTTGTATGATAATAAAACAAGGACATAATAAAAAAAACGACGGGTTGCACTCCGGGATGCCTGCAGAAGTGAAAACTTGAATATTAACGTTGTGCATTTTTGATATTTTGGAATGGTTAGAGAATAATTTTACACGAATTGCTTTAATTATCAGTATAAAAGTACTATCATGTATGTGGTAGAATACAATATTTATTTTATTGCGCTATCGTACTTTTTTAATGTAATATAAATTTTCATGTTTGTACATGACAATTTATATTACATTAAAAAAGTTTATTTCTCAGAAAAATCAACTTACGTGAATCACGTTTAAGCGCACTTAGCGACCTCTATTGTAAAGAAATCAACTTACATGAATCACATTTAAGCGCACCTAGCGACATCTATTGTAAAAAAATGCATTTTCTTCGCAATAAAGATGCCACGTGGACGTCCTAGATAGAGACTTATTATTATAATACGGTAAAATAAAATATAACTAAGTTTTATCCAATATATTGAAAGTCAACAACCTTTCCAATTTTATTGTGTGTCATGATGCGATCAACCCACGTGTTTAACCTGAAGCGAGTTTAACATTTTTTACCCTTACAAAAAAAAGTGTACATCGCCGCTAAAGTAGTTTTCACTTCAAAAAAACATGGGAACTTATTACTAGGTGCGTGCCGTGTATGGCCAATAGGACACTGCCTCAGCTATGCTCTGTGGTGAACGCTTTCGCGATACCTCAGCAGCGCTTATTTTCAGCCAGCGCCTTATGGCAAAGTTGAATTAGTGATGTGAAGTGAGGAATTTCGTAATTATCCCGTTAAAACACGTATGTTTTAAAAACCTTTAACATTATGGGGTATACACTATATATTCTGTTATTTCTTCATAATATGTTTGTGTTGAGGATATATTGTGAAGTTTTCATCAAACTACTGTTAAGTATACCTCTAGTTTAGCATGTCGATTCTGTAAGATACTGAGATTGTAGCTTAATTACCATCTCGTTTATTCGTATTTTTGATTGTTGACAAATATCTTTGAAATGAAATGAAATGAAATGAAATGTCATTTATTCAGTCTAGGCTGTTACAAGCACTTGTGAAGGTCAAGAAGCTATGCCATCGGTTCGCAAAACTACGGCGGGAGACCTTGTACTGAGAAGAACCGGCAAGAAACTCAGCAAGGGCTGTTTTTTTCTCCCTGTATTGTTATATACAGTGTCGTCAAGTTGAAAAATTACTTCATTAATACGTCTGAAGTCACTTTCCATTACATCATCTAGAATATAAATATGTAGTTACAATTAATTTTATAGTTAACATTTTAAGTAGTATATAGGAAGCGGCATTAGATAGGTACAATATTACTGTTATGAAAAATGAGTAATACCCATTTAATATCAAATTATAAGAAACACTATGTCCATGCATTACGATCATTTAGATAATCATCAACTTTATAATAGCCCTTATTCATAAGAGTATTTTTGATCTGAGATTTAAATTTAGTCAGTGGAAGCTCAATCAGATCTTGGGGACCTTTTACCGGCTACTCCAAAAATCATTGCGACATTTTGCCGTGTAATGATGTTATCAAACTACTGTCTAAATTGACACTTATCTAATCTAATTCGGAAGTGAGATTTCATTTTATAGAATTGCCCTACACAGACGCTAGGATGGCGTAGCCCTGCAATTAAGCCCACTACACTAACCCGCGTCTCGAAGTGTTGGCCTGAAGTGTTGGCTGTCTCATGTTGCATTCATAATAATTTTTTTTTATAGCGAGGTAGGCTCTACCCCACCTGATGTTAAGTGGTGATAAAGTCCAAACGCGAAGATAGCTGGTACAGCAGTTATAAACTGCTACACCAACCATCCTCACCTTACCAGCCTGCAAAAATGCTTCTTCATGCCTCTCCTAAAGGACCCCAGATTATAGGAAGGAGGGAACACGTGCGCGGGTAAAGAATTCCACTTACGAATAGTACGACAAAGAAATGAGTCACCAAATTTCTTTGTTCGTGTAGGAATTGTCACAGGCCATAGTAAGTCGGTGCCAACGTAGGCCAATTTCAATTGCGTAACACAAAAATCTTGATGAGACTGGACCTTTGCCTTTCTTAAAAAAATATGATTGTAATAATATTAGGGGTGATGACGGGGTACAGTAAACAAAATTCTATTTAGCCCGTCAGTTAGATGATCAAAAAATAATGGACACGTATTTTTTCTTTGGACAATCAACCAAAAAATGACAAAGTTACAGCGCGTCAAAGTTTGGGAGTAGGGGCTCGTGACGGAAGTGTACTCAAACGTGACGTCATGCGACTTTTCAAATCAATATATCTCTGCAATGTTTATATTATGTGAAAAAAGAAGAACTTTTTGATAGTCTACCTGATAAACGAAGAAAAAAAAATAGTCATCATCCCTATTAGAAACATTTTGGAGAACAAAATAAAATAAAGCGTTCTATCCATTTCTGATCTCTCAACTCTATTAATGTATCTTTGAGCTTTTGAAATTAAAACTCGTCTTGAGATTTCATTACAGAAAACTGCTTGCCTTTTTTTGTATAAAATATTCTCTGTTCTCCGTTTAATAAAAAAGTTTGCAGTTTGCGAAGAAACAGGAAGTTCAAACTTTAGTATTTTATTAGTTAGTAGTAAGGACGGGGGTGTTTTTACTTGTTTCATTTCTGTAGGTACTGTAGGTAGTCAGTGTGATTATGTTACTGACTTTACAAAACTTGGTGATAAAGAAACAGCACGAATCATGTTCAGTCAAATATTTTCTTATAATCAAATTCACAATTTTTTTTAGGAATAGTGATTGATAACCAGTGTTCATGGAAGAATCCCATAAAAAAATCATGCACATATATTATTATTATTATTTATCATATCACGTTTGCGTATGCATTGTGGCGGTTAAATCGACTTGTAAACCAAAACGCAGCTCTAATGGCTTATCACGGATATGTTGCATCCAATCTTAAATACGGTATACCTTTTGTGGGGAAATTCTACGGACATTAACAGAGCTTTTATATCCACTATTTTTTTTACGTATAGTGATAGATAACCAGTGTTCATGGAAGAATCACATAAAAAAATCTGTAATAAGATAAATAGGTTTGCATATGCATTGTGGCGGTTAAATCGACTTGTAAACCAAAACGCAGCTCTAATGGCTTATCACGGATATGTTGCATCCAATCTTAAATACGGTATACTTTTGTGGGGAAATTCTACGGACATTAACAGAGCTTTTATATCCCAAAAACAATGCATCCGAGCTATATGCAAGTGACATCATGCAGGCAATTATTTCCCAAATTAAAATTCCTTACACTTCCCTCTATTTACATTTTGGAATGTAGTATATTTGTTAAGACACATCCTTATAATTTTAAATTTAAAAACACAGATACCTCAGATTAGCGAGACATCGTGGTAGATTGATGTTGCCCAATATGCGTACTCAATATTACAATAAAATCTATCTATATCTGCTACCCGAATTGTATAAAAACCTATAATAAGTTACCACGCTTGATGACGGAGCTTAGTTTGCCTATATTTAAAAGGAAGCTTAAAATGTGGCTAATAACGAAATGTTTTTACTCAGTTAGAGAATATTTAGAAATGAAAATTGACTTAGAATAGAATAAGTTAAATCACATAAGTAACTTTAAATTTTAGAATTAAATTAAGTTTGTCGTTGGCAAAATGGACGAACTAAATGAAAATCGTCACCAAAATATATCTACTCTGTTTTGTGTGAATAAATAAATTTCAATAAATTTCATTTCATTTCATTTCGGCTGTTTATTTTTAAGCGAAGGCTCAGTTTTTCTTCCTTGTGCATAAATAAGTGATAACTATATATAAAGATAATCAATATATTTTTAATAAATATTGCCCCAAATCACATTACTAAAGAGTGTAATGTTTTCAGAAGTCATAATCGAAATCTTGAATATCCTTTTCTGTGTACATGTAATTTGTGCATATAAAACATTTTTTTGGAAATACTAACTACGAGTATATAATACGAGGTCTCGTGATTAAGACGACGAATCACAGTCAACAATAAATGATGTGGTCAAATAAATCCAATCCTCATATCGTTGAGCCTAAAAATATTTTTTTTTTAAAGATTTTTTTAAATAAATAAATAAATATATCCAACATTCACACCAATTAGCCTAGCCCCAAAGTAAGCACTGTAAGGCTTGTGTTATGGGATACTAGGTAACGGTAGAATACATATATGCAGTACATATTAAATTATATTTAGAAATACATATTAAACATCCATGACTAGAGTACAAATGCTCGTATTCATCACACAAACATCTGCCCCCACCGGGATTCGAACCCGGGACCTCTCGAGTTGGCGACACCATTAAACGTACAAACCACTCGGCCACGG